ACTGCCAGACCCCGAATCCTCCATAATCCTGAAAAAATTAAACTCTCATTATTAAAACAACGAATTAACTGAACAGACAAATAAAGTAAAAAAGATAAAAACAATATAACAACAAAACAACTAATAAAAAAACAAATAATACACAAATAGAAACCTATTAGGTTGGAATGTTTTCCCATATTCCTTCCTCGTGATCACTTCAAATAGCATGTATTTTGTCCACTTCATTGTCCGCAATAGGACCAAATGATCTGCTTGAGAAAGACGGTGTCTCATGCATATCTAGAGACTCATCTTCGTGACTTCCATTCTTCCTTCGAGGACCACTGACCATTTCTCATTACATGGATCCTTGACATAAAAAATTTGTCTTGCTTGATATGCCATAATAAAAGGTTCATCCTTATAACCGACCTTGTTCAAATAAACCAAAGTAAATCATAAATCATCTGTCCGCACACCCTTATTGCCATCAACCCATTTACACTTGAACACAGGCACTCTAAACGTAACATAATCAATTTCCCATATGTCTTGTATGACTCCGAAATAACTCATAGATGCTGTAATGGGATTTTTATCTTTAGAACTATCAAAGTGCACAGCGTCAGCCTGAATTTTAACCCCACTATTTTGTACTATACTTTTGTCATCTTCTATCTTTGTATAGAAACAATATTTGTTAATGTCATACCCACCAAATGTAATCACATCGTTGTTAGGCCCACGAACGAGTCTCAAAAGTGTATCAGAAGCATTAACCCCACTGTAAACCTTTTTCTTAAACCAAGCTAAGAAACTCTTGTTATGTTCATTCAATACTCATTTCTCATTCATTCGGGGGTGTGCTATCTTGATTTCATCTATGTGTTCAGATATGTAAGGAATTACTTTATTAGTGTTGTTCAATATGTACAAATGTGCTTGGTCAACTTCTGTTCGACTCACAGTTCTAATCTTTAAACTTCGAGTACCCTTACCAAATTGTTTCCCATCATGTCGAGTCTTAGGAATTCCTATTGGTTCTGATTTTGACATGTACCCTAAACAAAACTCAATGGCTTCTTTTGCAATGTACCTCTAGAATAGAGGCTTCTGGGCGGTATTGATTCTTGACATATCCTTTTAAGATCTTCATGTATCTCTCAACAAGGTACATCTATCTAAGATAAACCGGGCCACACAATCGAATCTCCCTAACCAAATGAACTATCAAATGCACCATGATATCAAAAAATGAAGGTGGAAAATACATTTCCAATTGACACAAGATTGTGATTGCTTCATTTTCTAACTCATCTAACTTTACAGGGTCAATTACTTTGTTGCAAATGGCATTGAAGAATAAACACAATC